AAGATTAAGCCACCCAAGAGGTGGCACGGGCATGAATAGCCCGTAAGAGCCATGATGATGAGATCTGTTGAGGTGCGACTGCACCCTGGACTACAATATAATTGGACTACACCTCATCTCATTATCCTCCAATAGGTTGGATGAGTGGAAGAAATGTTACCTGTAATTAAGGAAATGATTTGAGTTGCGTAATAACTGCAAATGAGTTTGTCATTAAGGTAATGAGTTTGGAGCGAGTATAATACTGAATATGCACGACCGTAAGAAACACACTCATCACGCACCGCTCCTGTGCCAGGTAAGTCCACTACGGGCTCACCATAGCCCATTTTACTTGCCACGCTCCTGTGTCAGGTAAGTTACGGGCTCACCATAGCCCGTGCTAAATTGGAGCTTGTTCCGAGTAGCTGAATCTATAACAACAACAACGACTGTAAGAGAGACAATGCAGTTTGAACAATAAGGAGCAGGGCGGCGCTACATTAAGTTGCCGTGAGTTAAACGTGTATGGCCAATTTACTGGCATAATCTACTCGCTATATATATATACATCCTTAAATGAGCGTGCGGACGCTACCGCTAAGGCAGCTATATATCCACACCTGTCCCATCTCCCATAAAGGTATTCCCTATTCCGACTTTTATCCAGTTATTCATTCCTCCATTCTTACCCGGTGGCAGGGTCGTTGGCCTTCTGTTACTGGTAACAAACTGCGTACTCTTATGAGTAGTATGTCCCCATGGCCTTCCTCCTACCACTGTAACCGGCGGTGGGAAGTGGCTCTGGCAAGGTTACATATTGGCCATACACGTTTAACTCACGGACACTTAATATAGCGCCACCCTGCTCCTTATTGTCCAAACTGCATTGTCCCTCTTACAGTTTTTTAGTTTAGTTCATTTATTATGCACCCCATACCCATCCTGTGGGCGGTAGTGGAAAGGGTTACAGAGGCACATAATGGGCTCAGGGACTGAACCCCACAATTCATTTAGCTAAGCAAGTTACAATCTTGATGAGCTAGTTACAAAATTTAATATAAGTCGTCACATCAACAATGGGTTCGAGATCGACCTCAAGTACAGGTTCTAAATTAAGCAACTGACATATGTGGAGAGATAGTGTCACAATTTATGTTTGTCCTGCACACCGCCCCCCCCCCCCATCCAGTGGGCAGCGGTGGATAGGTTACAATCACTCAGTTACTACCTACAGTTTATCCCTCTTACAGTCGTGCATATCCTTGTTGAATGTCCAGATTTCCAGGACGACCGTGTGTCTTGCTTCCCGACCGTCCCCCGCGGTCACTTGTCTCTCGATAGAATTCTTAGTGAATTAGATACCTTTGATATCGTTCGCCTTATGCATTTTTTCTCGTATTGGCATCCTTAGTGATATTTAGCGCCCTATGATTATCCCGTACATTTGGTGGCGCTACTTACCCTTCCCGGCTTGGTGCCTTCTTTTGATAATTACTTACTTAACCGCCTGTACATTTTCTGGGCATGAGGACTCATACATGCCCCATTTGTCTTCATCTGGTTATTCAGTCTGCCAATTGGTTGCTGCTTCTTGGGGCAACACATTTCTTTGGTGGAGAGAAAGGGTAAAATGGTGCTCAGTGGGACCCAACTGAATCAATCATTTAGTCTGACTGGCAGGTCTGGTCAGATTTGGGTCAAGTAAGCTTTGGAGGACCGGCATTTCTACTGGTCCTTGGGCTGCCATTTAGATTCTCTATTGGTTACCTATGTATACTTGCCTGTTTATCCTACATGCTTGTACTTGCCACTGTTGGGATCCATGGTGGGTGGGGGTGCAGGGAAGTGAAGATCAATTATTTTTATGTATCCTCTCTTCTCCAGCTACTGTATGCACACCTATTCTGCCTCTCACACCCTATGTAGTGGGCAGTCAAGCCCTGAAATCAGATCAACCTGGAAGAGTGGTCCCGGTTGTACAGTCGGGTTTGTTCTCAGTCTGTTTGTTTGACGCACAATCGAGAATTCCGGGTTCGAATCCCGGGCGGGACAGAAACGGTTGGGCACATTTCCTTTCACCTAATGTACCTGTTCATCTAGCAGTAAGTTTTTTTTTTAGATATATACAAGAGTTGTTACATTCTTGTACAGCCACAAGTACGCGTAGCGTTTCGGGCAAGTCCTTAATCCTATGGTCCCTGGAATACGATCCCCTGCCGCGAAGAATCGTTTTTTCATCCAAGTACACATTTTACTGTTGCGTTAAACAGAGGCTACAGTTAAGGAATTGCGCCCAGTAAATCCTCCCCGGCCAGGATACGAACCCATGACATAGCGCTCGCGGAACGCCAGGCGAGTGTCTTACCACTACACCACGGAGACTGCCGGAGTAGGTACTCCGAAGTTAGTCAGTTTGTTGTGAGGCTGCATCCTGGGCGGGGTTAGTATAAGTTAGACCTTGGGAGGGGAGGACCTCGATAAAAGCCAAATGTGTATAAATACACTCTGGCTTCCTGTCCCCCGACACAATTAATTAATTATAAGTACTATGTAATTTTAGGAGTACAGGTTGTATTGCAGAAGGACAATTAGGTCGACTTTTTTGTAACAAGGTTGAGTAATGTTTGAGAGGCCCCAGCGGGACTATACCTGCATGTACTACAGTACTGGTAGCTGGGTACTCGAGCCCTTTACTGATAAAACTCTCAGTAACAATGATACTGCAGATCTCCTTTAGTCACAACGGCTTAAAAAGTGTAAGATGTTAATATGACGTCCCTTAGTATAAATGTAATGTATCTGAATTGCAATTTTATATAGAGCATATAAATAAAAAATAAATATATCCGTTGTGTGCGCGCGTGTGTACAGTATATATAATATACTAATATATTCTAGAAATTTCGGAACTCATTCTGTCTTCTACTCACGATGACATGGCGTGTAACGTCAGGTTGAGGGCCACAGGGCTAACAAGAGTGCAGACCAGGCATGACATGGCAGATCTCATTGAAACTTTAAAATACTGAACAAGTTAGAGGATGTTGATCCTGAAAACTTGCCTAGGAGAGAGGCGGGGCCTGGGAGTGGCCTGGGCGGGACCTGGGAGTGGCCTGGGCGGGACCTGGGAGTGGCCTGGGCGGGACCTGGGAGTGGCCTGGGCGGGACCTGGGAGCTGGGAATGGCCTGGGCGGGACCTAGTGGGAGCTGGGAGTGGCCTGGGCGGGGCCTGGGAGTGGCCTGGGCGGGACCTGGGAGCTGGGAGTGGCCTGGGCGGGACCTGGGAGCTGGGAGTGGCCTGGGCGGGGCCTGGGAGTGGCCTGGGCGGGACCTGGAAGCTGGGAGTGGCCTGGACGGGCCTGGGAGAAAGGCGGGGCCTGGGAGTGGCCTGGACGGGGCCTGGGAGTGGCCTGGACGGGGCCTGGGAGTGGCCTGAGCGAGGCCTGGGAGTGGCCTGGGTGGGGCCTGGGAGAGCGGCGGGGCCTGGGAGTGGCCTGGACGGGGCCTGGGAGTGGCCTGAGCGGGGCCTGGGAGAGCGGCGGGGCCTGGGAGGGGCCTGAGTGGGAGTGGCTTGGGCGGGGCCTGGGCGGGGCCTGGGAGGGGCCTGGGAGGGGCCTGGGAGGGGCCTGGGAGTGGCCTGGGCGGGGCCTGGGAGAGAGGCGGGGCCTGAGCGGGTCCTGGGAGAGCGGCGGGGCCTGGGAGGGTCCTGAGCGGGTCCTGGGGTGGCTTGGGCGGGGCCTGGGCGGGGGCTGGGAGTGGCCTGGGTGGGGCCTGGGCGTGGCCTGGGAGAGAGGCGGGGCCTAAGCGGGTCCTGGGAGAGAGGCGGGGCCTGGGAGGGGCCTGAGCGGGTGCTGGGAGTGGCCTGGGAGGGTCCTGGGAGAGAGGCGGGGCTTAGGAGGGGCCTGAGCGGGTCCTGGGAGTGGCCTGAGCGGGTCCTGGGAGTGGCCTGGGCGGGGCCTGGGAGAGCGGCGGGAACTGGGAGTGGCTTGGGCGGGGCCTGGGAGTGGCCTGGGAGGGGCCTGGAAGTGGCCTGGGAGGGGCCTGGAAGTGGCCTGGGAGAGAGACGGGGCCTGGGAGGGGCCTGAGCGGGTCCTGGGAATGGCTTGGGCGGGGCCTGGGAGTGGCCTGGGAGGGGCCTGGAAGTGGCCTGGGAGAGAGACGGGGCCTGGGAGAGAGGCGGGGCCTGGAAGAGAGGCGGGGCCTGGGAGTGGCTTGGACGGGGCTTGGGAGAGAGGCGGGGCCTGGGCGGGGTTTGGGAGTGGCCTGGACGGGGCCTGTGAGAGAGGCGGGGCCTGGGAGTGGCCTGGACGGGGCATGGGAGTGGCCTGGACGGGGCCTGGGGGTGGCCTGGACGGGGCCTGGGAGAGAGGCGGGGCCTGAGCGGGGCCTGGGCGGGGCCTAGACGGGGCCTGGGCGGGGCCTAGACGGGGCCTGGGAGAGAGGCGGGGCCTGAGCGGGGCCTGGGCGGGGCCTAGACGGGGCCTGGGCGGGGCCTAGACGGGGCCTGGGAGAGAGGCGGGGCCTGAGCGGGGCCTGGGCGGGGCCTAGACGGGGCCTGGGGGTGGCCTGGACGGGGCCTGGGAGAGAGGCGGGGCCTGAGCGGGGCCTAGACGGGGCCTGGGAGAGAGGCGGGGCCTGAGCGGGGCCTGGGCGGGGCCTAGACGGGGCCTGGGCGGGGCCTAGACGGGGCCTGGGAGAGAGGCGGGGTCTGAGCGGGGCCTGGGCGGGGCCTAGACGGGCCTGGGGGTGGCCTGGACGGGGCCTGGGAGAGAGGCGGGGCCTGAGCGGGGCCTAGACGGGGCCTGGGAGAGAGGCGGGGCCTGAGCGGGGCCTGGGCGGGGCCTAGACGGGGCCTGGGGGTGGCCTGGACGGGGCCTGGGAGAGAGGCGGGGCCTGAGCGGGGCCTAGACGGGGCCTGGGAGAGAGGCGGGGCCTGAGCGGGGCCTAGACGGCGCCTGGGGGTGGCCTGGACGGGGCCTGGGAGAGAGGCGGGGCCTGGGGGTGGCCTGGACGGGGCCTGGGAGAGAGGCGGGGCCTGGGCGGGGCCTGGGCGGGGCCCTGGAGGTATACAGAGCATGAGGGCGGGGTCGGGGCACATCACCTGGCGACAGACACCCGGCCGCACGCACAGCCACCGACGGCTCTCATATTTCCTCCTGTTTCCCCACACATCCAGGTATTTATGGCCACATTTATTAACCAATAACCTACATAGTGAGGTGGTGGTGACGTGTGAGGGACACGCGGGGCGTGACACAGGGTTGTAAGGTCAAGTTATGGTTGTGTTGGAGGGAGTAGTTGTGCTGCTTCCTATACCCTCTCTAATACTAGTTTCGGTAACATGTAATAGTATTTGATATATTTATAATATATTCAATCTGGCTAACTCGGGGAAAAATACATTGTGATTAATAGTCTTAGGCAGCATGAGTATGTCATTTCGGACATATATAGTGATATGCCAACTATTTTTTATTTTATCTGAATATACCTGAGGCCAACTTTGTCTAGGGGCCTCCACAAGGACAAGAAGCCCTTGTCCTTTAATTTATATAGCGTTATGTACATAAAGTATATATAGGGCTATATATACAGACCTTAATAGGACAATTATTTAAAGACATGACAGATCACTGGTGGTGCAGTGGTAACACACTCGCCCCGCTCTTCTTGACCGATTTAACCCAGGTTCGTATCCTTACTGAGGAGGTTTGACTAGGTACCAATCTTTAACTGTACACCTCTGTTCAATCACTTCTGATTGACAACCAAATACCCAATCACTTCTAATCAGAAGAGATTGGGTTTCTGGTTGTCAAATGTTTGATGGGTCATATACCAGGGAAACTGGTGAGTAAGGTGAGCCTTAATGGGATGGGAAAGCTCTCGACCTGTTAACAGGAGTCGGCAGTCGTCTGTGCCTGTACCCACCGCTGTGGGAAAAAAACAGCAATACTGTATTGTATATTTAAGTTACACACTTGTAAATCATCCAAATGTTAGCTTCTTTTCTAGTAAAATTATGTTCATTCACATTCTTAACATCTCAGCATAACAAATTATAATATTTTGTTTCATTAATTCTATTATCTTGGAAGACAAAGATCAGCTGAAAGCATGTGGAAGCGCACACATATAAGAAACGTTTCCTACACAAAAAACTAGTGAATGCTGATGTAGCTATTTGTGAGAATACAAGTCACATCGTATTCATAACAGTGTGCTAATGGATTTTAAAACCTACATAACCCAACACATTCTAACCCAGTGATATTATATGCTTTTGACACTTACAAATCTACCTTCGTTGAAATGTCTGTATAATTTGACCATAACCATATGTGTACAGATGATATGACATGCAAAAGTCTCTAGGCGATTTGACAGTACCCTAAGCAGTTTAGAATTAGAACAAGAGCAATGTATGAAATGGTTCCGAGCAATTTTGACTATACCCCAATTTCAATGATACATATAGTTAGTTTTAGTTCATTTATTATGCACCCCATACCCATCTTGTGGGCAGTAGTAGAAAGGGTTACAGAGGCACATAATGGGCTCAGGGACTGAACCCCACAATTCATTTAGCTAAGCAAGTTACAATCTTGATGAGCTAGTTACAAAATTCAGTATAAGTCGTCACATCATTAATGGGTTTGAGATCGACCACAAGTAGTCTCTTAAATTAAGCAACTGACATATGTGGAGAGCTAGTGTCACAATTGATATGTTTATCCTGCACACCGCTTCCCCCCCCATCCAGTGGGCAGCGGTGGATAGGTTACAATCACTTAGTTACTACCTACAGTTAGCAAACTGGGAATATTTGGCTAAAATTTCTGGTAGCAGATCATTTTGAATGAAATATTTACACATCGTTGGAACATTGGTTATAGAATTGTCTTTGAATTCACGTATCTTTTTGCACTCCATCATATAGTGACGGAGGGTGTGCGAATAATTTTGTTGACAGTTTACATTTGGTCAGGTTTACATCAGCAGATAATGAGAATTCCCAGAGATACTTGTAACCGAGTCTTAAGCCGAGCAGTAGGAACATCTAGAAGTCTGCTGATTTTATTGGATGAACCATAGATGTGTTGCTCTTCTTGCATGATAGTTTGGTGATAGATGGAGTTACTGGTGTAGATTTTACTCTGCCTCATATATATAAGATTTTGTTGAAGTTCTTGGTGTACTATTGCTCTCAGACTGTTATTGACAATCAAGGTTATACTCAGTTTTTCCTTTAAAGGCAGATTCTTTGGCTAACTCATCAGCTCCATCATGCATTCAGAAGCCAACATGAGATGGAGATCACATGAAATGGACATATATGCATCATACATTGAAATTTGGGGCACAGTCAAAATTACACAAGAGGCACTTCATACATTCCTCTTCTTCTAATTGCTAATACTGTACTGTACTAAATACACATTTTTTATTTCAAGGAAATGTAGGTAGTTATTCAACTGTATAAACTTTGGTGAGCTGCCACTTAGATTACTGTATCCAAGCATGGAGACCTCACCTTCGGAAGAACATACTGTAGCTGAATTGGAGAAAGCTCAACACCGGGCAACAAAAATCATTCCAGAACTATGTCAGCTCATACCAGGACAGGTTGAGGGCCACAGGGCTAACAATACTGCACACCAGGCATGACATGGCAGATCATATGGAAACTTTTAATATGCTGAATAATTTGGAGGATGTTGATCCAGACAACTTCTTCAAAAGGACAGATGTAAGACAAACAAGGAGCAGCAGTTTCAAGCTCAACAAGCGACAGTGTAGGACTGACAACAGGAGATGCTTTTTCACCTACAGGGTTATAAACCCATGAAACTGTTTACTTGCTGAAGCCATAGCTGCCAAAACTCTGTTGAATTTTAAAATCCAGCTTGAAAAATTCATCAAGACAAATGGGGGGACTGTTGACAAGTTGCCAGCTTCCTGTCCTCGTCAAGGCCACTGGAGTTTTTGTGGCCGTCAGGTAAATTCAATGTGGCCCTCAGGTAAATTCAAGGAAACTTGGACAAGAAGACATAAATGTAAGCTGGACAGTCAAACAAGTAAGAAATGTAAGGAAATACAGAACTTATTCCCTGTACATGTGGTCAACAAGTGGAATGCATAGAAAGAGGAGGTTGTAGAAGACACTTACATCCACTACTTTAAAGCTAGACTTGACAAGGAATTCAAACATTTGAATAGTCAAATAATGATACAAAAGGTACAACAAAGCTAGTAGGCTGATAGTCATTACTCCCCTGTAGACACTGATAGATAAGTACTGTACAGTATATACAAAATATAAGTACTGTACTGTATGAGCTTGCATAACCGAACTACAGTACAGTATTTTGCATTCTAATGACAAGAAATCAACTCTCTAATTTCTGGTATCTGGGTTAGACTATTACCTTAGGAAAGTTCTCAGGTTAGTATCAAGAGTATCAATTACTATCATTGTACCAATTAATTAATTGTATCAATTATCAATTACTATCGTTGTTTTGTATCAATTAAATTTTGTCGGTTTACTCCTTTAAGTGAACCTGATTATTTTTATTGATGTCCACAATTATATGCTAGAGATTCTGCAAATGTCTGCATATCTTTGATCACTTAAGTTACTTAAGAGGCCTTGTTCAAGATGGTTTATATTATGAAGTGAAGTGTATGACTGTACAGTACCTATGTGGATAATTTTTTCATAATGGTACTGTATTGCTCTGAGTTTAAAATATTCCCACATATGTAGTGTTAAATAATGTATCATATATTAACTTTCTTATCTACAAGAGAGCAATGGAAGTACAGTATCACACACATACAAGAATAAGACATTTATGAACTGAGGCTTCTCTTATATAAAATAATGATTATGAAAATGTTTGATATTGAATAATTTAATGAAAATAATTTACATTGTATCATTCTTTGCAGCTTCCAAGATGGTTTCCATTGAAGTTCCTGCTGAGTATGGATACTGTGTGTTGGTTGCTGTTTTCTCCATTTTCATGCTCGTGTGGAAATCTGCGAAGGTAAAATTTATTGGCACTGGAACTATACTTGCTAATGTTAGAATTGTGATTGAGTAAATAGTTTTGATATCACTGTGGAGCAGTTTTAAAGTTGTGGGAGTATAATATTTCTGAAACCTTGTTGCAGATGATTTTTACCCAGTGCTGGTTATTTGTTTATAAGTCACAGTAGATCTATGGTTACATTTTACATCCATTGATGCCTTTGGCACTTGTCTTCCATCTTGACAAAAATCCAGTATAACCCAGACTCATTCCAGGGCATCATTCTTGTAGCGGCTGCCTCCTACGTAAGATGCATGCTTCTCTTGCTCTGGTCTTCAGTCTTTGCATCAGTCTATTCATTCCCCGCCATACAAGATAGAAAGCATTTTGTGGTACCTGGGGTTTCACAATGATTAGGAAGTGTACTGTATATCAAGTATTGAAGCTGAGTATGATCAAAAAGAGGAGAAGAGCCAGGCAAACATCTAGAGAGAGGGTGATGCCCAGCTCAATGGTATGGCTATAGTGACATTGGTGGCATACCTTCGAAAAAAGTAGGCTGCAGTACCACATTACAGAGAATGAGTTGGCACTTGATGCCACAAACAATGCATTTCCATGTGTGTAGATATGGTGCTAAAGTTCATGTTGGATGTGCTACAACTCCTGGTCCTGCTCTGTAGAAACATAATGGCTGTGGTTACATTGGTGGGACCATAACTATGCCAGCCACTGCCAATTAGCCTTTTGTGAGTTAGTAGCAAGGGATTTATGACCAAAATTCCTCATTTTGATGCTGATGCCAATGTGACACTGAAGTTTATTATTGACAATGTAAATTACTGTCATGTTTATTACTGACAATATAAATTACTGTCATGTTTATTACTGACAATATAAATTACTGTCATGTTTATTACTGACAATGTAAATTACTGTCATGTTTATTACTGACAATATAAATTACTGTCATGTTTATTACTGACAATGTAAATTACTGTCATGTTTATTACTGACAATGTAAATTACTGTCATGTTTATTACTGACAAAGTAAATTACTGTCATGTTTATTACATTGGCAAATTTACACAGTGTAATGTGAAAATTTGATTACTTTCTTGCATTCTTTGAAGAACAATTGTTAGAACGTGCATGAGACCAACAGGTATGCAGTGAATCTTATTGATTCTGAAAAATTATCCCTACATTCATGTGTGCAACGTTGGAGAGACACTCATGTGAGGAAAATATATACATTGGTTGGATAAGCAAAGATGATGCTGCATGGAAAAAATTTGACTTGAAAGATTATTGGAACAAGGTCAATATCTTCCAAGTTTGCCAAATATACCATAAGACAGATGCCTGGTCCTCCTGAAATTCCAACATTTTGCTGATAAAAAAAAATTCAGATGCACAAGACTGCCTGCTCAAAATTAGGCACCTGTTCACTGATCTAAATAACAAGTTCAAGATCTGTTATATACAACCCAGAACATTGTGATTGACAAGATGCTGTTCAAGGGATGTGTGTCATTCATGTGCCACAGATTTGGACTGAAGGTAGTCATCCTGTGTGACTGAAACAATTAATGATTGAAATGATTATGAACAATGGAACTATGCTGATATTGTCAAAAAAGGACCAATTGGGGGGGAGGCACTTGTGGTGGTGGGGGCTCGTGGTGGAGGAAGGGCGTGATGGTCCTGCCCGGAAGGGTCGTGCCAGGGCTGGGAGTTCCTTCGGTCGTTGTAAGCCAGTGGTGCTAGATTCAAGGCCTGTCTCTCCTGCAGAGCTGTCGACGTCTGGTCAGCGCAGTGCTCGCTCTGGATGTCGGTTGGGCTCTCGTGAGGGTTGTCGATCTTTTCGTGGTTCGCCCTGTTGACTGGGCGATGGGGAGGAAGCTCGCGCTGTTTGCTCACACCTGATCTCACAATTCACGGGCATTTCGGGTCGTTTCCTCCGACCTGCAGTGATGTTGGGTGGCTCTTCCTCCTTTGGGGGGGAGGGTCAGAGCTAGCGGGGCAGGCCTCTTCCCCTGCGCTATGTTAGGTCATCCTGGAGTGGGTACGCTTGGGCGTGGTTGAAAAGACGGAATCCCTCAGGTGGGTGTCCCCGCCTGTTTCCTGTTCCGAAACGGGACTGTGCAGACCTGAGGTTCATTCTGGACTTGGCCCGTCTAAACCCCTGGGTCTTTTGCCCCTCCTTTTAGATAACCACTCTGTCCCAAGTCCAGCTGCTTTTGGTGCCGGGTGCTTGGATGGTGTCCCTGGACTTTCGGGACGCGTATTGGCATGTTCCGAGTCATCTGGGGTTCAGGGACTGGCTTGGTTTTGTCGTGGGGTAGCAAGCTTACTGCCTTCGTTGCCTTCCATTCGGCTTGAATCTGGCGCCTTGTGTTTTTACACACCTTACCCGGGTCTTGGTGACCCGTTTGCGTCTGTTAGGGGTTTGGGTTCTGGCTTACCTCGACGACTGGCTGGTCTGGGCTTCCAGCTGGTCCATGTGTCTGCTCGCCGGGGATTTGTTTTTTTTTCCCAGCTCGCCGAGTTCGGGTTCTTGGTGAACTGGAGGAAGTCCCATTTGATTCGGGAGTCTGAACTTCACCGTGCTGGTCTTCCCGTCAGATCACATCTGGCTTTGGTGGCTGTTCTGGTTCCTTCGGGGACGTCCCTTCCACCGCTCTCTCGATTGCTGGGTTCAGACCCCCAGGGGCCTTGTGTCAGCTGCTTCATCACCAGCTTCCTCTTCGTTATTTTGCCCTAAATGGGCAAAATGTTTTCACCCTGATGTCCCTGTTACCTAGCAGTAAATAGGTACCTGGGAGTTAGACTGTTGCTGCGGGCTTGATATCTGCTTGACGGGGTTCTGGGAGTTCTTCTACTCCCCAAGCTCGGCCCGAGACCAGGCTTGACTTGTGAGAGTTTGGTCCACCAGGTTGTTGCTTACAGCGGCCCGCAGGCCCACATACCCACCACAGCTCGGTTGATCCGGAACCTCTTTTAGAAAACAGTCTAGGTTTCTCTTGAAAAGATGTCCATGGTTGTTCCAGCAATATTTTTTATAGTCACTGGTAGGACATTGAACAACTGTGGACCTCTGATGTTTATACAGTGTTCTCTGAATGTGCCTATGGCACCTCTTCTCTTCACTGGTTCTATTTTGCATTTTCTTCCATATCGTTCACTCCAGTACGTTGTTATTTTACTGTGTAGGTTAGGGTCCTTGCCCTCCAGTATTTTCCATGTGTATATTATTTGGTATCTCTCGTCTTCTTTCTAGTGAGTACATTTGGTGAGCTTTGAGATGATCCCAATAATTTAGGTGCTTTATCGCATCTTTGCGTGCCGTATATGTTCTCTGTATTCCCTCTATTTCAGCAATCTCTCCTGCTCTGAAGGGGGAAGTGAGTACTGAGCAGTACTCGAGACGGGACAACACAAGTGACTTGAAGAGTACAACCATTGTGATGGGATCCCTGGATTTGAAAGTTCTTGTTATCCATCCTATCATTTTTCTGGCTGAAGCAATATTTGCTTGATTATGCTCCCTAAACATTAGATCGTCGGACATCATTATTCCTATATCCTTGACATGCTGTTTTCCTACTGTGGGCAGATTCGATTGTGTTTTGTACCCTGTTTTATGTTTCAGATCCTCATTTTTGCCATACCTGATTACCTGGAATTTATCACTGTTAAACATGTTATTTTCTGCTGCCCAATCGAAAACTTTGTTTTCAATTGGGTGCTTCATGGGGATGTGTAACAAAAAGGAGGCCTGGTCGAGGACGGGGACACTAAGCCCCAAAATCATCTCAAGATAACCTCAAATCAAATCATTTCAAGATAGCTGTAGTTTGTCTTGGAATTCCTACCTTTCTGGGTGCCTGACCTGGTAGATGGCAGACAAAGACTGCTTCCAACTACACGGGGGTGTCTTTAGGCCATTGCTCCTCGTGCCTCTCTGAGGGGGGCCAGGTTCTGGCTTGTGGTCCCCGGTAGGCCTAAAACTCCATCGACTGACTGCTACCATGGTCTAATATATACACATTAGCCTGGTATAGCTCCGGGGAGCCTCCGGGTCTCATCCAGAAAATGGTGTTTCATTACATTCAACGCTGATTTTTTCTATCTTCTCTTGTAGCTCATCATTCAGTTCTGGAAGATATTTTGTTGCATATCTTTGCACCTTTTCCAGTTTGTTGATGTGCTTCTTTAAGATATGAGCACCATTCAAAATCTGTGTATTCCATCTTTAGTCTCACAAAGGTCGCGAACAATTTCTTTAATATTTTGCCATTCATGTATTTAAAAGCAACTCTGAAATTGGAAAGCATAGCATAGATTCCTTGCATAATGTTCATTATACAGTACTCAGGTGACAGTTTTCTCTCTAGAACCACCCCCTAGATCTTTCTTTATCAGAATTCTTTAAGACTTTTTCTAGTAAATTGTAGGTTGTGTGGGGCCCATTATGTTGTATTCCACATTCAATAATGTGGTATTTATTCGTGTTCAATTCATTTGCCAGGTGTTGCTCCATGCACTTATTTTGTCCAGGTCTTGAAATCATCTAAGTTTCTTAGATGATTCATTATTATTATAATTATTATAATAATAATACAGCTGTATAACATAATTATTACTCCTTCTATTTGATCTTGAAGGAAGCCAGCCTCAGGTGAAAGGGGGCTGTGATGATCTCTGTCTGGAACCCGTAGGTGAGGGGCTCAGAAGTCCACCTCCTGGGGCTCGTGTGGCCCAGGCTCTGCTTTGGGAGGCTGGGGTCATTCTTGCCCTTACTGAGGTGGTTCTTCTCTGGCCCTGACCATGGCAGTCTCCTGGGTTTGGAGTCCCTGTGCCTTCTTTTACGAACTTCGAGGTTATCTCCGGTACTGGAGCCTCAAGGGCAGTTCATTGTTGCCATCAACCTCGTTTTGACAGTTCCTGCGACAGCACTGGAACCAATCGTATTGGCGTTTGCCTTTCCATTGGAGACTTTCAGCGCTGTGGAGAGAGGGGGGACCTGCTGCTTGGGTGACAGCTTCTCCTCCATATCATCCTATCCTGACTTTGCGCCCTGGAGAGGCCACTCTAGACCGACAACCGGAGTGCAACTCCATGGTCTCCTGTGACTGATGAATGCCTAATACTACTATTGTATTTATGTTACTGTTGTGTGACTAGAGTGTAGAGTGAGTTGGTTAGTAAATCTGCTATAGGTTCCTGGTGAAGGCTGCCAGTGCTGGGGTGCTGTTGTTGGTCTCACTTGAGGGAGCCAGTGACATTGGACTACCCGAGGGGTTTGCCCCCCAACAGCTTTCACAAAAAAATTGATTTTGCTGCAGCCTGCGAGCAAAGAGCAGCTCTTGCAGTGGCCTGCGAGCTAAGAGCAGCTGATGCAGTGGCCTGCAAGCAAAGAGCGGCTGTTGCAGTGGCCTGCAAGCAAAGAGCAGCTGTTGCAGTGGCCTGCAAGCAAAGAGCGGCTGTTGCAGTGGCCTGTGGGCAAATAGCAACTCTTACAGTGGCCTGTGGGCAAATAGCAACTCTTACAGTGGCCTGTGGGCAAATAGCGACTCTTACAGTGGCCTGTGGGCAAAGAGCAGCTGTTGCAGTGGCCTGCAAGCAAAGAGCAGCTCTTGCAGTGGCCTGCGAGCTAAGAGCAGCTGATGCAGTGGCCTGCGAGCTAAGAGCAGCTGATGCAGTGGCCTGCAAGCAAAGAGCGGCTGTTGCAGTGGCCTGCAAGCAAAGAGCGGCTGTTGCAGTGGCCTGTGGGCAAATAGCGACTCTTACAGTGGCCTGTGGGCAAATAGCGACTCTTACAGTGGCCTGTGGGCAAATAGCGACTCTTACAGTGGCCTGTGGGCAAATAGCGACTCTTACAGTGGCCTGTGGGCAAATAGCGACTCTTACAGTGGCCTGTGGGCAAATAGCGACTCTTACAGTGGCCTGTGGGCAAATAGCGACTCTTACAGTGGCCTGTGGGCAAAGAGCAGCTGTTGCAGTGGCCTGCAAGCAAAGAGCAGCTCTTGCAGTGGCCTGCAAGCAAAGAGCGGCTGTTGCAGTGGCCTGTGGGCAAATAGCGACTCTTACAGTGGCCTGTGGGCAAATAGCGACTCTTACAGTGGCCTGTGGGCAAATAGCGACTCTTACAGTGGCCTGTGGGCAAATAGCGACTCTTACAGTGGCCTGTGGGCAAATAGCGACTCTTACAGTGGCCTGTGGGCAAATAGCGACTCTTACAGTGGCCTGTGGGCAAATAGCGACTCTTACAGTGGCCTGTGGGCAAATAGCGACTCTTACAGTGGTTTCTGGTTACAGCCTCTGGACATAGGTTGCATGTATATTGTCTTGCTCCATATGTATATTCATATGTATTATTATTATTATTTTCTTTAATGTAAAGTATTTTTATTCTTCATCATGTGTATATGACCATTTGAATTGAATTTTTAGCATTCAGATGGTTGAACTGTAGTAATATAAAAGACTTGATATAACTGTTATCTCATATACAGGTTGGTGGGGCCAGAAAGAAGTTCAAGGTTGAATACCCAACTATGTATCACAAGACAAATGATCATTTCAATTGTTACCAGCGAGCTCATCAAAACACGTAAGTTATCATCTGAGATGTGGCAACAGTTGTTACACATTATTGCCCTGCAAGAAATTAAGTTGGAATTCAGGATCAGTCAATTTGGATATCAGTTATGATCTAGATTCGTACACGAAAGATAGTTACAAAATTTAGAGATGTCAAACTTAATAGTACAGAAGAATATAGTGGATCCTTGTGCTGTGATACTGAGGTACTTGGGAAGTATTATTATTTATGGGCAAGGTATTTTATAAAGTAAATTCATTCAAAGCAAGCTAAGGTTAGTACAGTAGAACCTCGAGTGACAACCGCCTCAAATGGCGACCAATTTGGGTAACGAATGCCCCGATCACCGACAATTCGTCTCGTTAGGCGACCGCTCGTTTGAATACCGTCAACACCACATGGTGGGATCTCTGGCTGCTTCTCGCACATTCTCGGATGCCTCCTCAGACGATGCAAATAAATTATTTTTCTTTGTTTAAAGATGCTATTGATGCTGGGATGTTGCAAAGCATTGACTTTTTTGTAGAAAAACGAAATGAATTTTTTTAAAGAAAAAACAAATGTCAAAAAGGTTCATTCAGTGTTCGGCAGGTAGGCTGCTCCATGTTTTTTAAATAACAAAAAAAAAAAATAACGAAACGGTTGAAACAATTTGAAAAACGGACAAATACCATAAAGGTTCGTTCAGTGTTTGTCGGGTAGGCTGCTCCATTATTGAGAAATAAAGGGAAAAATCCAAAACAAATGGAACACATTTGAAACACAGATAGTCATAATGGAGCAGCCTACCCGACAAACACTATAATTTTTTACAGTGCTTCCCGTGTGGCTGGAAGCATTCTATGTCTGCCAGAGAGGTAAGCGTCCCAAAACAAACCCCTATTCTGGTGAAATTATTGCTACCAAAAGCTGAACAAATGGATAGAATTCCCGAAAAGAAATGAGCAAACGATCATGACGTCACACGTCGCCGCGCCGCTGTCTGGGCAGCTTCCCCCTCCCCGGGAGGAGAAAGGGGGTCACTCTTTCTTTGCACATCTTGCAGTGCCTGGCTTAGCCCTTCCATATACATTGGATTCTCTGTACGGTACTTACCTAGTTGTGTTTGCGGGAATTGAGCTCGGGCTTTTTGGTCCCGCTTCTCACCTGTCATTCGCTCACATGCAGGTTCCTGGGCCTGCTGCTCTATCTTATCTGTGCTGGAAGCTATGTGTGGCAATACTGCCACATGTGTGCCAATTCAGCAATACTGAATGTCATATCCTTCACCACATTGCTTCCTCATGCATTCCGCTTGTCTACTACTCTGACACTGCAATACTTCTTTTCCATGTTTCTTTGGCTCGGTTGGGCTCTCATACCACCGGAGTCCCCTGGAGCGCGTGCCCCTGGGGTCCCGTAGTCAGTCTTTCTCTACCTTATCCCTTCCTTTGGGAATCTTTCATGTGTGGTCATATCCTCGTAGCTCGTACTCCTTGGTTCGGGTACTGGTCTGGTGGCGTGCCTTTGCACCTTTTTTCCTTTTTGTCTTGTGTTGGGACGTGTCACACAACTGTGTTGGCATGGCTTGTTGGGACATGACCAGCGGCTCTGTGTGTTGTTGGTCATGACCCTTTCATTCCCGTTTTGCTACTTGCCTTCTTCGTTCCTCATCTTCCTTCTACGCCCTTGTCCCTGGCCGTTGGTGCTGAGGCTTTACTTCTGGTCTTTTCTTGTGTTTTTTCGTTTTCTAACTTTATCCTACACATTGTGTGTTTTGTTTGTGCCTTTTAGCCCTCCTATTGCCAGGTTTGGGTTTCTGGTTTCCTGGCTTACCCAGCCTGTTGGCGTTTTCACGGTCTCTCGGTTCCCTTCTCTAGCATCGCTTGTTGGGACTGTCGTCTCCGATCTCCTGGTGGGCTCGCGGGCGTTGGGATGTTTTTCTGTACGGCGGACGTTCCATCTCCTCCTTTGCCGGCCTGGGTTTCTGGCTCTGCTGGCTCCGTGGTCGCATCTGAGATCTTCCCGCGGCTCCGCCTCTTCCTAGACTCGATTGGCCCATTGCAGGGCCGGTTCGGTTCTACCTCGAGTCTTTCGCCTTCTGTTGGTGGTCGGGTGGCTTCGTTGATGGTATCCCACCTGCATGCTTCTTCTTGGTGGCAGTGTGGGGTTTTTGGCGGTCCTTCCTTTTCCTTCTGTCCCTTCTTCGGTAGCTGTGTTGTCAGCGTGGTCTTGTCCTTCTCTTGGGGAGATTTGGGGCCGTCATCTTGCCCCATACTGTCGCCTTGTATCGTGCAGCGCTGGTGGAGCCGCTTCAGCTGGCTTTCGATATTGATGTTACTTATGTGGTGTTTCGCAAGCTGTCTCGTGCATTGTTTCACCTTCGGCCTGCTCTTGCGCTGCCTGAGCCGTCCTAGTCATTGGACAAAGTGCTTTTTTCTTTCTTCTCCTCGGTTTGTTGTGGCCCCTTCGGTTCAGGATTGTTCTCCAAGGCTCCTTTTCTGTTGGCATTGGTCTCTGGGGGTCGGGTTGGGGAGCTTCATGCTCTCCTCCGGCGCAGGGGTTTCTGCGGTTTCGGTCTTCCTGTTGGTTTTGTTCATCTGCAGCCGTTTCCTTCTTTTCTGCTGAAGAATGAGACTGCTGCTTTCCGGAGGGGGTCCCTGGGTTGTTGATGCTTGGTTGGTTGGGCCGGGGATGCATCATGTTTTGTGTCCAGTGGCAGCTCTTTGCTGTTTTTGCACGCCATGGCTACTGTATCTAGGGACGCTTTTTGGGTTGATCCGGTTTCCCTTCTTCCCTGTTCGCGAGGTGCGGGTTTCCCAGGTCACCCGCAGAGTTCTTCAGGCTGGCCGGCCTGCAGTCGTTACCTCGTGTACGTCCCGGGGCCTCGTCGGGCATGTGTCGTTTTGGGTCAGCGGTTCCAGCCAGTTGTGGAGTGAGCAACGACCGCCTCCCAGGTAAGTCCCTAAGTTTTTCCTTTGTGGGGTAGTTAGCTCCGTGGGGGTCGAAGGGGCTCCCCCCAGAAAACCAGCGTTGAATGTAATTTAAATGCCATTTTCTAGGTGAGACCCGGAGGCTCCCCGGCATCCCTCCCTCCCTTCCCCCGGTTGGCGTTTTTTGCGTGTGTTTTGACATCCAGCCTCAGAACTGAAGGGTGGGTAGCCGGCATGAGGGGTCTGGGGCTTCTCCTTCCCCCTCCCGGGGAGGGGGGAACTGCGCAGACAGCGGTGTGGCAACGTGTGACGTCATGATTGTTTGCTCATTTCTTTTAGGGGAGTTCTATCCATTTGTTTGGCTTTTGGTAGCAATAATTTCACCAGAATAGGGTTTTTGTTTTGGGATGCTTACTTTCTGGGTGCCTGACCCGGTTGATGGCAGACATAGAATGCTTCCAACCACACGGGGGGTTTCTAGAGGCCATTGCTCCCCATGTCTCTCTGAGGGGGCCAGGTTCTGCCTCGTGGTCCCCGGTAGGCCCACAGAACTCCATACACATGACTGATGCCAAAGTCTGACATTAGCATATCAGCCTAGTAAGTCTGACAGTAGCATATCAGCCTAGTAAGCTCCGGGAACCCTCCGGGTCTCACTCAGAAAATGGCGTTTCATTACATTCAATGCTGGTTTTTTGCAGAGAATTAATTTTCGGCGCCCAGCGGTAATGTTATATTTTAAAGCCGCACAGCATGGTGGTTAACCCTTAAGTTGCGCATCGCATCATATGATGCTTTGATTGATTTGCAGTAAATTTCGCATCGCATCATATGATGCTTTGGAGTACTACGCAAGATTTATATGGCCCGCGGATACATGGGGTTCACCACACCTTCATCAGGGCTCTTGTAAACAGACGCCATTTAAAAAAAAAATTGTGGGACAAATTCCCAAGTGTTAGGGGCCTCAGTATTGAGTGAGCTACCAAGCCTGATGCACGCAGCATGAGCTCACAGCACTGCTGTTCAGCTTGTGACCACAGCATCGCCTAAAAATGCCATAATATACTTGTTCATGCTATTATGTAGCGATGATATTATTACAGAAGACCCCCGACTGTGATAAAACTGACCAGGGTTCTGATAATAGCAGGATTGTGGTGATATTTAGCGCTGTGCTCCATGGAGGGAGGAGTAATGCTGTGGGAGGGAGGGTAGTGGCGTTGTCTTCTGACTGTGTGGCCACCTTTTATTGACTGCACTCACCATATCAGCTTAGTGGTTCGCTATGGTGAACACAAATGTAGATACTTATATATAACGTGTGTATAGAGGGTATAAACAGCAAGAGGAGTAGATTGGGAGCCGCCATTTTGGTGAGGGAGGTGGTGGTGTCTGCACGACTTATCATGTTGTTTACTGGTGACCACGATGGTCTTTGGGCACCATACCAGTTTACTTGTACAAGTATGGTGAATAAAACAGGTAGATATTTATATATAATGTGTGTATATAGCGTAATAACACCACAAACAGTATTGTTGTAGGAGAAATATTAGTGCGTCTGGCCTTGAAGGCGGCCGCCACCAGCTGACTGTGAGAGTAGCTACGTCTCTCTGCCTTTACTCACCATACAAGCTTAGATGTACAGTTATGGTGAACAAAACATGTAAATACTTGTATATAACGTCTGTATATAAAAGCAAAAACAGTATGGTGGAAGGAGAATGGTGGCAGGTGAGGTGAGGGACGGAGGGAGGGAGGGAGTGGCAGCCAGTGGCGGGCTGCCACTGCCACTCAGCATACCAACTTAGTGGTTTGTTATGGTGAACAACAATGTAGATACTTATACTGTATAAAGCGTCTGTATATAGTGAATAAAAGTAAAAACAGTATTGTGGGAGGAGAATGTGGGTGAGTCAGGTGACTTGAGGGAGGGAGGAAGTAGCAGCCAATGGCGGGCTGCCACTGGCACTGCCACTCAGCATGCCAACTTAGTGGTTCGTTATGGTGAACAAAACATTCAGATACTTATATATAACGTGTGTATATAGTGTAATAACCGACAAAGTATTTGTTCACTGTTTGATGAACATA